CTGAGACGTTGGAATGGCATTTAAATGAATATGAAATTACATTTTTACTTTGATAATGTCCATTAAAGGGATAGTTCACCCATAAATTAAATGTCTGTCATGTTTCAACCCTTTATGAGTTCCTTTCTTGTTAAAACACAAAAAGAAGATATTTTGAAGAATGTTGGAAACCTGTAACCTTTGATTTCTTTTAACCACAGTATTCACTTTTTCTACAGTGGAAGTCAAGGGTTAACGATTCTGAACATTCTTCAAAATATCTCCTATTGTGTTCAACAGATAAAAAGAAACTCAAAGGTTTTTAACTGATCGTGCACTCTAAGAAATTCTGGGTGTAATACGGACTAAACCAACAGCTGGGTTATATTTTCAATTAAATTTAAAGAACGAAATTTAACCCAATGTTTGGGTTTGTCCATATTTTATCTAACTTGGGTTTAAATAACCCAGCCTTTTTTAGAGTAAGTAGTGAGTAATTTTTCATTTTTGGGAGAACTACCCCTTTAAGAAAGTGAAAAGGAACAATTCTGATGAGATCATATTGATTTTGAATTATTCTGTGATGAATTATTACACATTAAAATATGCTGGCTTATCGTAACCCAGCATTGGGTCAAATATGGACAAACATTGTTTATTTTATTTTTTTATAATTATTCTTACAGGGTTTTCACCTTTATTTTGGATAGAAAGGTAGAGAGAATTGACAGGAAAGCAGAGGTAAAGAATCGGCAAAAGACCACGAGGCGGAATCGAACTCGGGTCGTCATGAGCACCGGAGTGCATCTGTCAACGCACTAACCACTACACCACTGGTGCCGACATTGTTTATTTTTCAATTAAATTTAAATGACATTATAAACCCAATATTTGGGTCCATATTTGACCCAAAGTTGGTTTACAACAGCCCAGTATCTTTCCAGTGTAGGTTTTTAGAGGTCAACACCAGTCAATAGGTTGGAACAATTATGCCTCCCAAAAGAAGTCTCTTGTGCTGAGTAGAGCTGCATTGTAATTGGATATAAATCCATTAAAACTGTACAATTGTGAAATATTATTTTGATTTAAAGCAATGTTTTCTATTTTAATATTGTATTATGTCATTATTTCTGTGATGCAAAGCAGAATTTTAGCTCAATGTCACTTGCTTCTTCAGAAATTTGGTTTCTTAAGTATTTTTTGATCATCATAAATCCCTCTGTAAGCTTCAGTTGGTTCAGTCCAGAACTCAGCTGCCCGTATCATCATAAGAACCCCTTCTTCTCATCACATCACCCCTGTGCTGCAGCAGCTTCACTGGTTACCAGTTCATTTTCGAATTGATTTTAAAATCTCGATGTTAACATTCAAAGACATCTACAATCTCGCCCTTCCATTTTTGTCTGCCCTCATCCACATCACCCTGCGATCCTCTTCCTCCCTCCACTTGTCTGTTCCCTCTGCTCGTCTATCGTCTATGAGCAACAGAGCATTCAGCCGCTCTGCTCTGCGGCTTTGGAACTCACTATCACCTGCCATCAGAAACATTGACTCCCTTACACTATTTAAATCAAGACTCAAAACCCACTTATTTAAGATGGCTTTTAATGCTAAGTTAATTTATCTGCACTATTGCTGTGTATATTTCATTATTTCTCTTGTTGTTTTATTGCTCTTGTTTATTGTCCTTGACTTGCCAGAAAGGCGCCTTTAAATAAAATGTATTATTATTATTATTAATGGTGATTCTTACTACTATTGATGATTGTTATAGATGATTATCATCATCTGTGTTAATCCGTTTTAGTTTTACTCTATGAAGCATTTTTGTGATTATTGATGAACAGAGTTCAAAAGTATAACATTTATTTGAAATAAAACACTACATTACGTTACGTGATTTGTTTATTTTGGTTTCCATATTGCAGGGTTTTTTCCTTTTCTGTTTCCTGATTTCTTTTGTTTGCAGATTGCCACTACCTGATTCCAATCTGCGCAGCTAATTTCTGAGCTTTATAGACTGGCTGCAGCCGACCAGAAGGCAAGAGAGAGCTGGTCCAAGCCCAGACACAAGGAGCTTGTGACTCGTGCGCTACTTTTTTTTACTTTTATAATGTGAATTCATTTTTGACGGCATAAGTAAGGTGTGGGGTGTCTTTTTAAAATCTTTTTCTCCTGTTTTGATGGGTAGGCAGGGAGAAATGGAAGCAAGTTGTGTTTTTTTTTTTCTTTCGGTAATGATTATTTTGTTAGGGATGTTAGTTTGTCTTTAAGTTAGTTATTGGATTGTTTTGTTTGTTATTTTGGACACCCACATCCTGAGGTATTATTTTTTTGTTTGGTTTCAAGTTCTTTAAAAATTCAAGATGCTATTTTTTTTCTTCTGATGACAAAATAAACCAACGATTGCCTGATGGTGATCAGAAAACTGAATGTGTCTCTTCCCTCTTTCTTTATTTGTTCGTCACTATTTATTTTGATTTACCCCTTGATTTTGTAGGAACGTAACAATTAAAAATGCCTTTAATGCATCACTCAAATGATTAAGGTCAATAGCCCCTTTCACACAGTGATACCGGAAAACATCCAGAAAATTTACCGGTAAATTCAAAAAAGTGCTGTTCACACAGGCGAGGACGTTACGGAATTTTTTCGGAAAAGAGCATTCACACATCCATTCCAAAATAGCGATAAATTCGGACATCATTAGCCAGAAATGAGATCTAAACGGCTGAGCTTGTATTTGTAAACATTTGACTACATTGCAAACTCTGTTGATGGATCAGTATTGTGAACAACTTCCATGAAAACTCTTTCGCAAGTCGAGATGTACACGATATGTGTGTGTGCTGGTGCTCACCGACTCCTTCACGAGCACACACGACGCGTCAAGCAACTGAAGGAAGCAGAGGTTGAAGGTTAACGAACAACGGCTTATCATAGGTATCTAATCGATAATTATTTACACAATTGGCATTAAGAAGGAACAACTTTAGCAAATGTTATCAGACTAACATCTAAATGTGTCTGGAAAAATATTCAAAGGCAATTCTCATAAACCGCGCGTCTGACTGTTCTGATTGGCTAAAGCAGGTGTCTCACATCAGCACGTTCTAGATATGATTGCGCTCTTTCCGGCAATCTTCCTTCTGCGTTCACACAGCGCAGCATTCTGGCAAATTACCGGTAATGTTACAACTTCTCTTTCCGGAAAATAGCCAGTACAAATTTACCGGTATTTTCAAAAAGGGCCTGTTTACACATACAGACCTTTCCGGAAAATTGCCGGTAATTTTCCGGAAAGTCTGTATGTGTGAAAGGGGCTATTGAAAGACTAACCAGTATTTTTTTTAGATATTTAATAGATTCATAAATTTATTTAGATATTTTTTTGTATTTTTTTTAATACTATGGAAGTAAATCGTTATCAGTTTTCTAAAAGCTTTTATACCTTAAATATAAAAGGATAAAAATAGTAATAATTATAACCATAATATAATAGATTTTTTTAATAAGGAATAAGAGCATTTAGAAAACCTAAAGCCACTGACTGACCATTTTCCTATTATGCATGTCAATAGCTACTGGCTTCCAACATTCTTCCGAATATCTTCTTTTGTGTTCAACTGAAACGCACAAAGGTTTGCAAACACCTGAGGGAGAGTAAACTGCGAGTAAATTCAAATGAATACCCCTTTAAGCATGAAATCAGCATCTTAAAATGATTTCTGTTCATGTGCCACTAAAGACTTGAGAGCTCGTGAAGTTTCATAAACTAATTTCGAGAGGAGCACATGATATGATTGACTGCAGCTGGCCACTCATCTAGACTCATTAGCTAGCCAATCAGATCGATCCAAACTCACTAAGTAGCTTAGTTAGAACTACTCCCTTATCTTCGTTTTTCCGAAGAAACCCCCCTTCCACTCATTCTCCTCCTTGGAGGGGAGCTCTCGAGAACCACCTGATCTTGTACTCCCCTCACATGCTCTATGGACCAGGCTGGAGCCCTGGGCTCAACTATCTCCAAGCTCAGGGTTCTATCCCGGGACAGCATGCCAAACCTGCTAACTTGCTAACAAGTTGTTAAACAGTATCTAAGTGTGAATTCTTGAAATACAATAAATTCAGCTTTGCGTCACAGGAATAAACAGCCTGATCTCACGAGGAAACTTAAGTGTTTTACGTTTTGTCAGTTTAGTGGCTAATCCGTACAAGTTCAGTCGTACAAAAATGTATGATTTAAAAAAGGAGGCGTGGAGGCACCTAACCCCACCCCTAACCTCAACAGCCATTGGGTTATGAGCAAATCGTACTAATTTGTACGAATTAGATCGTATGAATTCATACGCATTAGCCACTAAATCAAAAAGTTACGAATTGCCGTGAGATTGCGTTGGAATAAACTACATTTTAAAATGCATTTAACAACTGAAGACAGTCATTTTAACATTTCACAATATTACTGTATTTTCTATTTAATAAATGTAACCTCAGTTAGCATGTAGGGTTGTCAAAAGTATCAAGTTCGGTTCCAACTCGTACCGAAATTTTAATAAACGTCCATTTCCTACTAACATTTGAGCGCTGGTAAGGTGAACAGTGGTGAAGAATAGAGAACTGATGACCTTCAAGGCCAATCACTGTAATTTCTGTTGAGCACATAAACACAAAGGCTGCGTCCGAAATCGCATACTTCCATACTATATAGTACGCTAAAGTCAGTATGCGAACCGAGTAGTATGTCCGAATTCACAGAATTCGAAAATCCGTACGCAAGAAGTACCCGGATGACTTTCTACTTCCGGCGAGATTCTGAAGTGCACATACCATGCACGCTGCGCTATCCCATGATGCCCCGCAAGAGAATTCATTAATGGGAGTGAAGTGACAAAACTGACGCAGGTAGGTCACGTGACCATGACAAAATGGCAAATGTAGTACGTCCGAATTCCATTCATACTTTTCACATTCATACTGTATAGAATGTACTTTTCTAACGGCTGAGTAGTACGTTTAAATTCAAATGCAGTACCTATTGAATAGGCGGTTTTGGACGCAGCTAAAGGCAAATCAGCGGTGTTTAGAACGCATTCAACATCGCCCAAATGTTAGCGGGAAATGGACGTTTTTAAAATTTCATTACCAATTGGTACCAAACTCGATACAAAAAAATACATAAGAGACTTTTTTAAATCACATAATTAACCCAAACCTCTGACTAGCAGTGTACACCTGAACAACTAAACTAAACCGAACTCACTGTTCAAAACTGAGGTGCTTGTTTTTAAAATCTGTTTGGCATTCTGGTAATTGTATGAACACTAGCAGGTCTGCGAGGCCCGTCGGGTCTGATGGGCTTTGGCGCAGGTGGAGGTGTGCCGGTTGAAGCTGTCCCTCCACATGAAGCGCTTGGAGCACAAGCTGCACTCGTACGGTTTAATCCCCGTGTGGATCTTCATGTGACCCACCAGGTGATGCTTCATCTTAAAGCTCTTTCCACAGACGGCACAACCGAACGGCCTCAGACCCAGATGCATGCTCATATGCCGGTCCCTTTGACTTTTATGCGTGAAGCTTTTGCCGCACTGACACGGATACAGCTTATAAACCACCGATGCAAACCCTGAGTGGGACGTCTGCTCACTGTCGGCAGGAGATTCATCTTTAGGACCATCTGTATTATTCCCATCCGCCTGAAGTTTCTCCTTGGACTCTGGATTAGAAAGCTCGTCTCCGGTTTGAGAAAACCCCTCCATGGAGCTCCCGTAGAAATCCAGAGGCTCTTCATAAGTGCAATCCCGATCCAGACACTCTGTTAACTTCTCGTCGAAACAATCTTCGACGGTGTTGCCGTTGTTTTCGTCAGAATCATTCGCAGTGTGTTCTGAGCCAAACAACCCACCGCAGGCTTCCCGAGTTTGCCTTTCCGCTTTAACGTGCACCTTCTTTCGATGTCCCATGATGCTCGGCGGCACATACGCGGGTCTAGAGCAGTGGCTTTCCATTGCGTCCGATCCATTCTCGCTGCTCTGCGCATCAGGAGACGAGCATCCGGCGCTTTCCAAGGCAGGAATAGTAATGCCATCATCCACTAGATCTTCAATATTATCCTCGTACACGTCACATTTCGGGGATGAGCTGTGCTCGAAGTTCCCTCCGCTGCTGTTTTTCTTGTTTCCAACCTCCAGTAGCTCGGTGCATTTATCCACCACATGCCACATCTGTAAAAAACTGGCGGCTGTAAGAAAGGACACCACTTCTCCAGACGGCACCGAAAGTCCTCCGGTGTAGCAGGATAAGAGGAGCTGCTCGAAAACGCACGGAGGCATGACGTCCGGGAGCACCACGCGAGCGCTGTTCTTCAGAAGCACCTGATCGCAGAAGTACGGCGAGCTTGCGGCCAGGACGGCGCGGTGGGCGCGAAACTGATGGCCGCCGATGGACACGATGAGGTCGCAGAGCTGGCCACGCTGCCTCTGCTGGTTCAGTTTCTTCAGGAGCGAGCAGGAGAAATCCGGGAACTCCACGTGGAAGGAGTTTGCATCAGCCTCCATGGTGACGTCAAAGTCTAGACGCTCTGAGAAAAAGGAAAGGATACTGCACTTAATTATTTTAAATAAGAGGGTTATTTTACAGCTCTCAAGTAAGACAGTTCCAGTTAAATCCAGCTGATCTCTGGGTCTGGCAGGAGCACTTTCAGTTTAGCTTAGCATATGATCATTGAATCGGATTAGACCATTAGCATCTCACTCAAATGACCAAAGATTTTCCATATTTCCATAATCGGAGTAAAGTTATGCTATTACATATTAAACTAGCATCAACATTTAAAGTTCAGCACATTAGAGATCAAGCTAACCCGCTATTGGGGCTGTGCAAATAATTGAAAATTTTGATTTCGGCTTCTAACGATTATGAAAAAACATTAATGGAGATGATATGATTATTCCATCATATACCGCCCTTTCCAGTCTTACACATTTGTTGCTCTGCAAAGCTCAGTTTCACGCGAAAATTACTAAAAGTTTGTGCTGTAAGAGGCTGAATTATCATGTGCATTTGTTTATATGACAGAACATGTCTTTTTGACTCAAGAAGGTCCATACTGACTTCAAAGGCAGATACTGATAAGATCAGGGCCTGTTGTGTGGACTTTGGGGGTTTTATGATGTGGTCATATGTTGATTGGTCAGTTTGAATGTCTTGAATGGCTTTAGTCACATGGTCAAGAAAGATACAAAATAGGTGGTAAACTCGAGCTCTGTCTTTTTTCCTTGCCCTCTCTTTTCCTGGCCTGTCTTTTCCTGGTCTGCTCCTCTCCTCCTCTGGAGTCTATCTTCTCTGAGGGCCTACTCACACTATGCCATTCGTACCGTGCCCAGGCCCGTTTCCCGGATCGTTTGAGAAGTGTGAGTGCGCTGAATCGTGCTCAAGCACGGTTCACTTGGCCGGCCCTGGCCCGGTTGGAAGAGGTGTGCCTGAGCGCGGTACACTTGGGCTTTGGCGCGGTACGCTTGTGTGTGAGCGCAAAACGCGCCAAAGCTCGAAACCGAAAGCGAGACGTGACTTTTAAGGGACTGTTTGATATGGATTTATTAATCATTCTTACTGTTCAGTGAACGCAAACTGCCGTAGTTTATTAAAGACGCAAACTCCTCACAGCACGCCAGCTGCGCGCCTTCAGCAGACCTCATTCCTGCAGCACGAGAGCTTAATGATTGTTTATGAGCGCCAAAAGTGGCGGATCTGTTCAGTGAAATATCTGACTGCGTGTCCCCGCATCCCTAAGGACTGTTTGGCGAAATATTTGACTGCATGTCACTGCATATCAAACGACTGAAATGATATAACTAGAGAAATCTCCACTGTGCTGCTGAGTGAGAGCGTATGGCAAGCCGTTTTAGCATTTAAACCTTGTTCTGACTATCCATAAATATATTTAGAGATATCTCTAATTATATTTTGACTAGTCATAATTATAATTCGACTAGTCAGAATGACAATTAGATCTGCAATTACAATTGTACTAGTACGAAATCAGATTGGAGATATCTGCAAATATATTATGACTAGTCATATTCCTCCATTGACTTCCATTGAAAAATATTTGCAGATATCTCTAAATGAGTTTTGACTAGTCAAAAATCCAATTCAAGATATCTACAACTGTAATTCGACTATTAGTGAATTAATTAGAGATCTTCAAATATATTTGTAAATATCTCTAAATATGATAAATTAAAGACATCTCCAAATGTATTATGACTAGTAAAAACTCAGAGATATCTCTAATTACAATTGTGACTAGTCAAAACTCAGTTAGAGATATCTGCAAATATTTTTCAATGGAAGTCAATGGAGGAATATGACTAGTCATAATATATTTGCAAATATCTCCAATCTGATTTCGTACTAGTACAATTGTAATTGCACATATCTCTAATTGTTATTCTGACTAGTCGAATTATAATTATGACTAGTCAAAATATAATTAGAGATATCTCTAAATATATTTATGGAGTCAGAACAAAGATTTAAATGCTAAAAAGGCTTGCCATAGAGAGCGCTTCTGAACAGCGCAGCAGCGATGACGTAAGCGTGCCGAGGCCCGATATGGTGTGAGCGCGGGCCGTCGGGGGAGACAGGAGGGGGGACAATCGTGCTTTGGCCCGGTTCGAGGCAACTGTACCTAGTGTGAGTACGGCCTGACTCTACTGCAATCAGGCTAACTTCTGGGCCTGCTCTCTTTGTCTCTCTCTCCCTCCCTCTGTGTCTCTCCTTCTACCTCTGGTAACTTTAATTTTACATTTAAGCTGGGTACAATTTTTATCATATGTTTTATTATTTCATATTTTATCATTTTATACAGTATTTTGTAATTAATTCAGTTGTAACCATAAAGCATTATTGTCATTAAATCATCTCATTTTCAAGTATTTGTGAATTACTTTTGATTCAACATTAACATTTAATTGTTCCATATTGCAATACAATACAATCACATAATATCAACGCTCTCCCACATTTATAGCTATTAATAGTGCCCTTATTTCCGTTTTTGGTATGAGATTGCAAAAGAACGGTTTGACTAGATATGTACAGTTTTTTTACCATCATGCTGATCACTTTTTAGTCGCTCGGCAGAACTACAGTTCAAACCGCTGTGGTTAAAACCCATTCTTACACAGCACAGGATGCGCATCATACATTGATGTACAGTTGACATCAAAATTATTAGCCCCCCCAATTTTATGGTCAAAATGGGCACTTTAAGCTATTTTTTCCCGATAGTCTAAAAGAACAAACCATTGTTATACAATAACTTGCCTAATTACCCTAACCTGCCTATTTAACTTAATTAACCTAGTTAAGCCTTTAAATGTCACTTTAAGCTGTATAGAAGTGTCTTGAAAAATATCTAGTCAAATATTATTTACTGTCATCATAGCAAAGATAAAATATATCAGTTATTAGAGATGAGTTATTAAAACTATTATGATTAGAAATGTGTTAAAGAAATCTCTCTGTTAAACAGAAATAGGGGAAAAAATAAACAGGGGGGCTGATAATTCAGGGGGGCTAATAATTCTGACTTCAACTGTATATTCGAATCATTTATGTTTTTAAAAGCGTGGAAGAGACCGCATGCTGTTGCATGTATGCGCTCAGCCTCAGAGACGAGCAAATGTGTGGCAAAACGCAGTGTTAGGTAATTACTTATAGAAACAGAGAAAATCCCTCACTGCTCTTGACTGAAGGACTTTTGTAGCTATAATTAAACTTTCTTTCTTACGCCTGTTTCACACCGCAAGCGTCAGCGGCGCGTGAGCAGAGCGTGAGCAGCGCGTATGTCGAGCAGTAGCAGCACGCAGGCGTTTGCCTTTCACACCAGCTGCGTCTGCAGCGCGCAGCTCTTCGGCAGCTGCTGCAGAGATCAACCTATCTCTGTCTATTCTATCTAGTTACCCATGTCTCTCTATATACAAATACACTTTTTAAACTTTTCATCTGTCCAGCGGCAGAATAACAGCTCGTTAATTCATGCTTGTGCAGATGATGAGACGGACAAAAGTTACCAATGCATGCCATTCTTTTACTTATTTTCGTGTTGTCAGATTCACAGTGCAAACAGTTCCCGGTAGGAATAACTCGAGTGAACATAAAACAAAGCCGATTAAAACTTTCTTCCTCTGCTCAGCTGCACAGCACACAGCGAGCTCACATAATCCAGCATGCGTGTCGAACTACACTACCCAAAATACACTTCGCTATGGACTACAAATCCCGTAAATATTCTATTTCCCCTCTCCTACAACACTAGTGTGCAACTTAAGCAAAACTGATACTAAAATTGTTTTACATTTGGTTTTGTAGTTCGGGCCTAAATAAATGTTTGTTGCCGTTTTTAATCGTTTTAAGTTCATTTGAATGACTATATGTATACCATTTGACGTTATCAACGTATTTATTGGGTAAAATTGCTACTTTTTACTGTCATTCATTGTGTTTTGGTCATTATCAATGCACTGTCACTTTAATTGAGCGTGAGCAGCGCGTCAAAAATAGACCCAGCGCCGAAACTATCGCTGCACTGCTGCTTCGGCGACGCTCACGCCTCGCACTGACGCGCTGCTGCTGCGTGCGGTATGAAAGCTCTAATCTGTTAACATGGACGCCGAAAACACACGCTCTGCTCACGCGCCGCTGACGCTTGCGGTGTGAAACAGGCGTTACAGTGAAGATGCTTAAAGCACAGTTTGTTTCTGATTTTTATTCTATTGCATTTATTTTAATTTTCCTATGTACAGGGAGGAAAATAACTGTATATATACAATTGAAGTCAGAATTATTATCCCTGCTGAATTATTAGCGACCCTTTCCCCCCCAATTTCTGCTTAACGGAAAGATTTTTTTTCAGCACATTTCTAATCATAATAGTTTTAATACCTCATTTCTAATAACTGATTTATTTAATCTTTGCCATGATGACAATAAATAATATTTAACTTTATATTTTTCAAGATACAAACTAGGGCTGTGCAATTAATCGAAATTCCGGTTTCGATTTCGGCTTCTAAAAAAGCATTAATCGAGATAAGCGATTATCGCATCATATACCGCCCCCTTTCCAGCTGTACACAAGTGTTGCTCTTAAAAGCGAGAAGGACCGCGTGCTTGTGTGTGCGGCGCGCACTCAGTCAGAAGCATGCGGTCAGCTTTCGGTCTCATTCGCACACTGTGACGAGCAGAGCGTAGACATCTAAAGTCATCTTATCGTGAGCGCTTTATGGTCAAATAGGTGTCAAAACGCGGCGTTTAGTGATTATTCATATTAACCCTCATTTGTGTAATAAACAAATGAGTTGAGAATCAAAAGACATGTGAAAGAGAAATCTTTAAAGTGAAACCGCGCAATATTCCTGCTGCCGACTGGTTTCATCCCTAATCAAACAACAAGGAGAAAATCCCTCACTGCTCTTGACTGAAGGACTGCTGTTGCTAAAGTGTTTTTCTTACAGTGAAGATGCTTAAAGCACAGTTTGTTTCATATTTTAATTCTATTGTATTTATTTCTCTTTCCTTTGCAGAGTGGAAAATAACTGTGTATATGCAGTTGAAGTCAGAATTATTAGCCCTCCTGAATATTAGCAACCCTTTTCCTCCCCATTTTTTGTTTAATGGAAAGAAGCCTTTTTTTCCAATTTATTTCTGAACATAACAGTTTTGATATCTCATTTCTAATAACTGATTTCTTTTATCTTTGCTATGATGACATTACATTATATTTTACTAGATATATTTCAAAATACAAGCATTCAGATTCAAAGTGTGATTCAAAGGCTTAATTAGGCAAGTCATTGTATAACAGTAGTTTCTTCTGCAATCAAAAATATATTGCTTGAGGGGGCTAATAATATTGACCTTAAAATAGGTTTCAAAATATTTAAACCTGCTTTTATTCTGGCCGAAATAAAACAAATAAGCCTTTCTTCAGAAGAAAAAATATTAGAGGAAATACTGTTAAAATTCCTTGCTCTGTTAAACACCATTTGGGAAATATTTCTTAAAAAAAAAAAAAAAAGAAGAATAATAACTGACTTCACCTGATAATCGTTTTAAATAATTGTGATTATGATTTTTCCCAAAATCGAGCAGCCATATGCCCACCTATAATATGTATATTATATATACTAGTATTTTTAACACATTTATAGTTATGTGGTGGCACAGAGTTAGACCTCTTTCTTGACTTCACACAGAAACAGCAACGCGTGCAGCATGACATCACTTTCTCGCAGAGACGCTATTGGTTAAATGCCGGCAAAGTAGAACACTGAGGCAGCGAAAAGCGCAAGTATGTCTGCGGTCTGGAGATATTATAAAGTTGATGAAAATTGGAGATTTTTTTTTTGACAATTTCAAGTTGTCAACTAAAACCACACTTTTAAGATTTCCAGAAGTTTTTTGTATAACAAATAAAATTAGAGAGGTATCATTTAAACTTGTTCCTCGTATTTATCCTGTAAAACAGGTAATTGCAAAATTTTGTAAAGATGTTGATTTAAAATGTGTTTTCTGTAATGCTGAAAAGGAGAGTATTGTTCATTTGTTTTATGATTGTATTTATACACAATTGTTTTGGTGTGATCTTTTCTTTTTTGCTAGGCAGAGTATGAATATTGAATTAGAATTCAAAGAAAAATGTTTTATTTTTTTATGAGAATACAGTCGACTTCAAAATTTAATATATTGTTAATTTGCTCATTATATACTACAATTCTTGTATTCATAAATGTAAATGGGCAGTGAAAAAAAACTTAATTTTACTCACTTTAAAACATAAAATAGGTCATTACCTATGTACGATAAAAGAAACAAAAAAATACCAAAGCAAATAGAACAGTTTATCTTAAAGCCTTAAATCTTGTCTTTAAATAATTGTAATTTTTTTTTCTTTTCTTTATATATTGTATTTATTTTGATGCCAATATAATGTTGTGTTTTTGCCCTTGTATTTTCTGTGTTCTAAAATTGCAATTAAAAAAATAATAAATTAAATAAATTTTTAAAAAGTTGACGACGACAGCATTGCCAAAGCAAACTGTCAGATGTGTAAACTTGGGATTGCCAGCCGGGAATTTTAAGTTTAGATGATATTTGTTTTTATATTAGATTTTTTTTATATTCACTGTTGCACTTAAGTCCAAACGTGAAGAATTGTTGTTATTTATTACTTGGTTGTTCAAGCTCACAGAAGTGCTCTGTTTGTTAACAGAATTGTTGAATATTAAAAAATAAGGAACATCCTGGATCTGTATCTTCTGCCTTCTTTATTAATTTTTTATGTATTATAGACGTATCAGATCGGGTTTCAGTATCAGTGCAGTGCATCCGGAAAGTAGTAATAGCGCTTTACTTTTTCCACAATTATTTATGCTACAGCCTTATTCCAAAATGGATTAAATTCATTTATTTCCTCAAAATTCTACACACAATACCCCATAATGACAATGTGAAAAAAAGAGTTTTTGAAAATTTATTACAAATAAAAAAGCTGAAAAATTAAATGTAAATCAGTATTCACAGCCTTTGTTGTGAAGCTCTAAATTGAGCTCAGGTACATTCTGTTTCCACTGATCATTCTTGAGATGTTTCAGCAGCTTCATTGGAATCCCAGGGTTGACAGTGCATGTCAAAGCACAATCCAAGCCTGAAGACAAAGGAACTGTCTGTAGACCTCCGAGACAGGATTGTCTCGAGGCACAGCGGCCTCCATCATCCGTCAGTGGAAGAAGTTTGTAACCAGCAGGACTCTTTCTAGAGCTGGGCGGCCATCTAAGCTGAGTGATCGGGGAGAAGGGCCTTAATCAGGGAGGTGATCAATAACCCGATGGTCCCTCTGCAGTAGGAACTGGAAGGTTAGTCAGGATAGAGGGAGAGATGAATGCAGCAATGTACAGAGACATCCTGAATGAAAACCAGCTTCAGAGTGCTCTTGACCTCAGACTGGTTCATCCTCCAGTAGGACAGTGACCCAATGCACAAAGCCAAAATATCAATGGAGTGGCTTCACAACAACTCGGTAAATGTCCTTGAGTGGCCCAGCCAGAGCCCAGACCTAAATCCTATAGTACATCTCTGGAGAGATCTGAAAATGGCTGTACACCGTCATTTCCCATCCAACCTGATAGAGCTTGAGAGGAACTGCAGAGGAATGAGCAAAAATTCTCAAAGACAGGTGTGCCAAGCTTGTGGCATCAAATTCAAAAAGACTTGAGGCTGTAATTGCTGCCAAAGGTGCATCAACAAAGTACTGAGCAAAGGCTGTGAATACTGATGTACATGGGATTTTTCAGCTTTTTTTATTTTTAATCAATTTGCAACAATTAAATAAATCTATTTTTTTACACTGTCATTATGGGGCATTGTGCGTAGAATGTTGAGGAAATAAATGCATTTATATCATTTTGAAAAAAGACTGTAACATAACAAATGTGGAAAAAGTGAAGCACTATCAATACTTTCCAGATGCACTGTAGATACTCAAAATCAAATGACTTGGACTATAGAGCAAAAAAATATGACCGCCTAATACAAATAATAAAAATTAATTACAACAAGTCTAATCAGGAAATTTATGAACTATACTTATTGATCATTTGCTCAAAAATGTAACATGTTTTCAATAAAAAAAACATAGTAACAACACCCCTTATAAAGCAAATGTAAGAATGAGCTCATTTGTATTGAATTTTACTGTGGTAACACTAAATACGTATAATAACTGATATTCAGGATAGTAAGTTTTATATAAACACATTTTAGATGTCATTTGGCGATATGTAAATAAACAACAATAAAATATTACAAACATCACGGTTACATAATTTATGATGGCAAATTTTTTATAAACTCATAATACCAAATCTACGATGTCGATAATCGGAGAAAAGCTATATTTTTACATTTTAAACAAGTGAAATGTCAAAATTCACAGTTCAGTACATTAGAGATCAAGCTAACCAGCTATCCTGCTAAGCTAGCATGTGAACAGACTTTCTGGACGTTAAAAGACGACAGAGACGTTGTTGTTCATGAAAAAGATCCCGAGATATCATTAGACTTTTCTGCTTTGCTCACAATACTACAAAACTGTCCGTCTTACCGTTTCCTGCATCGTTTTAGACCGGTTTTCCGTGAGCTAGCCTGCCTTCTCTCTTCCGAAAGCCAGAGCGCTACGTGACACTTACGTCATCACGCAGAGTCGCGTGGCGCAGGGACAAATGTAAACAAACACGCCCACTTTCCGGTCGAGAGCCAAATTTGACTATTTTCTCAGCGCAAAATGGCGTAAAACTGTTACAAACCAGTGTATCTATTGCCTAATATAAAACAATACATCAACATATGACGGTAAGAAATACTGTTTGCAATATCAAGCAGCGTAAACCGCTAAAATAACTGCAGTAAGTGCCGTCAAAAGCCAGGTGCATTTAGCAAGATGCTAAATAACAAAACCGGGTGACAAAAGAGTCGAAAGAAAATTAAAACATAAAAAAGGGACTAAAACGACGTTGATTAATGGACATAAAGTGTAATAATAGACGTATTATTGAATATATCTGACGCTTAAGTGTTTTTACTACTTTCTGAGTTTCAGAAAGTCTCTGATTTAATGATGTCGTAAGTTTTATAGTTATTCGATTATTTTTAACATGCTAAAGTAATATGTTTATGGTGAGATGTGAACTTAATTGAATACATTTTTAAAAGCTCAGCAGGTGGCGCTACAGGATAAGCGCAGAACTACAGAAGCGCGTAGTTTGTTTGTTTGCTTTATTCAGAGTGCACATTTAAAAACAACAGATGTTGACCAAAGTGCTTTAGAAAAATACCAGCATACAAAATCTATACTTAAATATAAAAATAAGCAAATTATATAAAACAGATAACAATTATTTGCAATCAAAATGCAAAGAGAAAGAAGGGGATTTTTTAGATGAAACTTAAAAGCACCAAGGGAAGAACATGAGCTAATATGTAAAAGCAGACCATTCCACAGATGGGGGATGTGACAGAAAAAGCCTTGTCACCTCATGATTTCAACTATGTTTTGTCCCTTAAAATTTTGCCTTTTTAATAAGGTTAAAGTTTGCATGTTCTCCCCGTGATGGTGTGGGTTTCATCCGGGTGCTCCGGTTTCTCCCAAAGTCCAAACACGTGCACTATAGGGGAATTGATGAACTAAACTGGCCATAGTGTATGTGTGTTTGTGAATGTGTGTGTATGGGTGTCTCCCAAATACTGGGTTGCAGCTGGAAGGGCATCCGCTGCATAAAACATACTCTGGATAAGTTGGTGGTTCATTCCGCTGTGGTGAATAAAGTGGCTAAGGCTAAGGAAAATGAATGAATGCATTACCCTGTAAACATTTTGTGACCTTTCTTCACAATTAAAATGTAATTTAGAGCCTTTGTGACTGACCCAGGACAACAAAATCAGTCGTAAGGGTGCATTTATTTGAAATCAGATTTATACAAAGCAAAAATAAGCTTTCCATTGGTGTATGGCTATAGCAAGGACAGGAAATAATTATTTGAAACTTCACACTACCTGACAAAAGTCTTATCGCCTATTCAAGTTTTAAGAACAACAAACAATAACTTGACTTCTACTTGATTATTTGGTATCAGAAGTGGCTTATATAAAAGGAAAATTACCACAATAAAATATGATCATGCCTTGATTTTGAATGATTTCATTAGGACAGTAAGGTCTGACTTTGCTTAGACAAAAGTCTCATCACTGAACAGAAATAATGTCCAGTACAGAATATAAAGTCCTGCTGCAGTGGAGACAGAATGAATATTGTGTCTGACTCCATCATGAGCTTGGAGGACTGCATCCATACATCTCTGACATGACTCAAATCACTGATTAATAAAGTCATCTGGAATGGCAAAGAAAGCGTTCCTGCAGGACTCCCAGAGTTCATCAAGAGTCTTTGGATTCATCTTCAACGCCTCCGCCTTCATCTTACCCCAGACATGCTCAATAATGTTCATGTCTGGTGACTGGGCTGGCCAATCCTGGAGCACCTTGACCTTCTTTGCTTTCAGGAGCTTTGATGTGGAGGCTGAAGTATGAGGAGCGCTATCCTGCTGGAGAATTTGCCCTCTCCTGTGGTTTGTAATGTAATGGGCAGCACAAATGTCTTGATACCTCAGGCTGATGATGTTGATCATCCACTCTGCAGATCTCTCGCACGCCCCCATACTGAATGTAACCCCAAACCATGATTTTTCCTTCCCCAAACTTGACAGATAGCTGTGAAAATCTTGGCTCCATGTGGGTTCCAGTAGGTCTTCTGCAGTATTTGTGATGATTGGGATGCAGATCAACAGATGATTCAGCAGAAAAATCCACCTTCTGATCAACCAGAACAGGCATCGATGACAAGATTTTTGTCAGGTAGTGGAGAATCAAAGAGGGAAAAAATAAATAAATAAGACAAAATCGGCTTTAAATTTGCACAAATTAGCAATGCACATTATTAATCTATTAATTTTGGCCTTATTTATCGGGAGTCGCCAGAGTGGAATGAACCGCCAACTAACCAGAAAATGATTACGCAGGGAATGTGCTTCCAGCATTACTGGGTAACACCCATACACTCTCACATTCACACACACACACACTCATACACTACGGCCAATTTAGTTCACCCAATTCCCCTATAGCACATGTGTTTGGACTGTGGGGGAAACCGGGGCAACCGGAGAAAACCCACACCAACACTGGGTGTAGAAGCCATATTTCATAGTTTATTGTTCTAGGTAATTTTCATGATTCTTTGTGTTATATAATGTGTTCTTGCTGACTTGCATGTCATATACACTGAGTTACTTTTCTACTGCGCATGTGTAGTATGCTTCAGATAGTACGTGCGTTTTTTGTGACACAAGTGAGTTTCTTAGTGTGTGTTCCAACCCTAATTAAACACACCTGATCAAACTAATTGAGTCCTTCAGGCTTGTTTAAAACCTACAGGTAAGTGTGTTGGAGCAGTGTTGGAACTAAACTGTGCAGGGCTTCGGCCCTCCAGGAATTGAGTTTGACACCCCTGCTTTAGACCGTAAAAGTGAAATATTGAAGTTATAGTTCATCAGGCTGGAACAAACAAGTTGTATGCGAGTGGATTTTGACGGCATTGGCAGGTGTTGATATCTGATGTGAAAATAAATGAAGATACGCTAAATTTCATGGACTCTCGTGTCGTGATCAAGTGTAAGAGCACTAATACACGTCAAGACTTGTGAAATGATCATAATGGTTACATGTACCCTACACAGGGAGAACATGCAAACTCCACATAAAAACACTAACTGGCTTAGGTGGGGCTCGAACCAGCAACCTTCTAGGTCACAGGTGTCAAACTCAGTTCCAAAAGGCACTGCAGCTCTGCACAGTTTAGTTCCAACCCTAGTTAAACACACCTGATCAAACTAATTGAGTCCTTCAGGCTTGTTTAAAACCTACAATGTGTTGGAGCAGGGTTGGAATTAAACTGTGCAGGGCTTCGGCCCTCCAGGAATTGAGTTTGACACCCCTGTTCTAGGTTAATAATACTCAAACACACAAAAAAGCCTTGTTTTTGTGATCAGCCAGCACATAAAAGAGTACAAACGTTGATTAAGTGTACAATTACGTATGTCAGCAAACATCTTGTTCATAAAAAATAGAAATTTTAATCTGATCCGCAGACATTTCAGTATGAAAGAGCTGTTGTAGTTCTCTGTAATGAAAGGAGTCTTTGTTTTTTTTCAGCTGGACGCTTGATCGGCCATTCCTGAAGATACAGGTGCAAAGATCAGACCATCCAGAATCTTCCAGGTGGACCGTGAGTTTTGTTTTTGTTCCTCTGTGATGTACGAAAGCCATCTGTTCATCATTTCATCCATCTATCTTTAAAATATAAGAGTGTTTAAAGAGTGACTGACACTGTAAATATAACAAGAATTACTAGCGGGCGAAGTATGATGCACACAAAAAAGTCCTCGTTACAGTGTATATAATGTTGTGGAGAGTCACTTTTGTAAGTGATATGTTACAATCTTGTATCACTTCCAAGGGCGTAGGTTTACACTTGACATTGGTGGGGACGGGTGGATCAAACACTGGTATATATGCTGCTATTAAAATATATTAATAATTAATCATCTCTTCATACAATTTATTAAGTTTCAGGCTCGTAGCCAAAAGGGGTTCTGATGGTTCGAAAGACCAAAAGTTGGATTGTTACTATTATTATTATTTTTTATTATTGAAATAGCCAAACTCTGACTGACGCAAGCTTAAAGGGGAAATAAAGCACTCAGTCAAGTTTACCTTATTTTGTACATTGGATTAAACTTTAATGAAAATATATTAAACAAATTCGATTAATGTAAGCAGAAAACGGCATGTTTTACAATAGATTTTAGACCTAGGGCGTCGCCATCTTGGAATGCCGCTGTATCTGAGGTCACGGGGTTGGTTCTGTTCCCTCCGCTGAACAGTTACAGTGGAAGAAAAAGGAGACTCTAAAGCCTAATTAATCCAATGTGTGAAGTTGTGGACGCGGAGCTGCTGCAAATACAAGCATCAGATGTGTGTCTAATATAAAAGTATAGATATTTATTCAGTTTTTTTCCCCTTTTAATTGCTGATCATTTGATGCACTTTGATTCACTCTCTGTATCCTTTACTTGTTTGTGTTCAGCGGAGGGAACTCAACCAACCATGTGATGCCAGACACAGCAAAATTCCAAGACGGCGGCGCCCTAGGTCTAAAATCTATAGTAAAACATGTTGTTTTCTGCTAAATGTTATGTTCATCAAGTTTGTTTAATACATTTTCATTAAAGTGGAATCCAATGTGCAAAATAAGGTAAACTTATGTTTCAAGTGCTTTATTTCCCCTTTAATGTGCTGGCCAGTTTGTTATTTGCCAGAAGAAAAGATTTAACAGTTTTCTAAAAATAAATAAATAAATAAAAAAAAAAATATATATATATATATATATATATATATATATATATATATATATATATATATATATATATATATATATATATATATATATATATATAATAGATGATAATAAATTAGTGTTTTAAAAATAAGAATCTTTGCATATTTTTCACTTAAATGAT